TCATATATATAGGGTTATAGATATCGACGGAAAGCTGATTGTTCAAATTTGGAATGCAAATAAAATCTATTATCATATCCAAATGATTATGGATAAGATAACGACTTTCCGTATCGCCGCGTATCGTACCTTAGAGATAAGGTCAGATAGTCGTCCAGATACGTTGCCAAATTAGGAATGATTCCTAATTTTGGGTATTTTCAAATATTGCGGATATAGCACACATCATCCTAAGGTATCTAGCAATCCACGCACTATTCACGAAATATTCAAACACCCGAAAGATTAGGAAATTGAATATTCTAAGACTATAGATGAGAATCTTACCTAATTTGTGGATATTTCCAAATTTGAATCATCGGCGGATCGGGATTGCGGAATGTATGGTGGCCAATGGCAGTGGACCAGCGGCGATAGCGGTGTCGCTACGAGGAGCGGCGGCGTCAGCGGCGGGATAGTCCGTGGCTCACGTCGGGACGGCGACAATGGCGTGGACGCTCGAGACAGCGGGAACAGCAGCGTCGAGCAAGACTGGCCGCAAGCTGGGGGGGATGGCTTTGTAGTGGAGATGTGCCCTTTTGGAGTCTTCCTTTAGTGCGCAGAACGTGCTCCTCCTTTGAACTGTAGTCAAAGTCCTTCAATCAACTTCCACCACTTGGCTCCCTCTTTGACTTTTCCTTCGACGTTGTTGTCTCCGTGGCTTGGCGGTGTGAAGCTCAGCAGATCGGTTCAGGAGGTGTCGGCATCGTGTAACAGGTCTACAGCGTGTCGAGGCTGGAGTGAGAAGTAGCCGTGACTGTCGAGAGACCCTCGACTCAGACGGAAGCAGTAACTCGTCGCGGCACGGGGCAATGGCAGTCGTCGAGTCAAAGGATTCCAGTCTCAGGGGCAGCACGTCGTGCGAAGCTTCGCGGGCAGCGGCATCGGGCACAGCGATGGGATGGCGGCCTCGCGAAACAGCAGCACCAGTGGTCCGCGCGGTGCGGTCGCGAGGCGGCGCGACCGACTTTCTCTCTCTTGCACTCTCACTCTCACATGTGTTTTCGCTCTCTTCCTCTCACGGATGACTCTCTCTCTGGTCGTGTATAACGCTATTGATCAAAAGAGAGAAGAAAAGCCTCCTCCACTTGTGTCCACGAACACCCTTTTATAGGTGAGGGGACGAAGGCTGTCTAGGAAAGAGGTCAGATCTTATTTCCTATTGTGTGCACTTTTGGAATCTCTGTTTTATTCTTTCCTCCCTTTTCGTGCACAATCCACCGAATCCTCCTCTTCCCTACAATGTTTTATTGCTTATTTTAATGTAGATGAATATAACATTGCTTTGAATATGGCTCAGAATAAGCTTTTATCACCCCACTGCAGATATCTTCGCGATATATGGCCCCAATCAGTTTGCAAAGTGTCCTATCTTATAGAAGAGAATAGAATCAAATATATCAAATTTGGCTGAAAATATATGTACGGGACATTGCTTTGTGACAGAAAATCTTCACTTGAATTATCACATGTGCAAAACATGTGAATTTTGGTCATGGGCTTGGTTCAATTAATTTCATTTAAGCTTGGAACTATTCGCTCGGGTCCATTCGCCGTCGGTCCGATAAATATGCAAACTATATGGGCCTAATTAACTATTAATGGAATGCTCCTAATATCTATATGCAATGCCATCTAATTATATTTTTTGTTTAGGGGTTAAAATATTAATCCCTAATTTTCTATGCAATTGTTCCTAAATGATTAGTTAAAATTTAGGTGTCAACACTATTATGAGTTTGGACGTCATTTCTAATAGTATGTATATGCCAGTAAAAGATCTATACAGAAATTGAAGAACGTTCAAGATCACCTTCTTGAGATTGGCATGAGAATTCAACCACTCGTCGGAGCCGTTTCCAGTAGAATGAGAGGCCACCCATTTGAGGGTAGTCCACGAATCGTCGTAAGCCGCCGGAAGAGGATGCTCCAGTGCCCCTCTATAATCGACGGAGACGGCAATGATGTTAGCCTCCGCAACTAGGGTATTGAGATAGTTGTGGTAAGTCTGCGACTGTGCCGTTCCAATTATGAAGCCTTCCCCATGAAAGTATACAAGTACATGGAGCTTTTGGAGAGAATCAGTCGCAGCTTTTGGGATGTAAAGTCTCGCGGAGACGGCGGAGTCCAATGAAATGGCAATGTCTTTTGACTAGACGCCGGTTTTCTCGTCGAGCGATGGAGGGACGGTTTCCGTGCCTACAAATCTCTCCACTCGGCCATCCTTGTAAATCCTTACGGTTGGAGACATATCATAGAGCAGTTTTGTTTCCATTGTGGTTTGAAGTGAAATAGAAACTAGTTCACTATTGAGGATGAGAAGAAAGAGGGTTGATCAGAAGTTTATATTGTGTTTGTTGAGATACATGTATGAGTTGTGTTAGAGAAGTCCCACATTAGATAATTGATGTGGTGTTGAGCAATTAATATATTCTAGTTGGCCCATAAGTTATTAGCATAAGCTTTTGAGTGAAGATATGTTGATGGGCTCGAACTTGAGCTTTCTTCACACCAACAAAAAGCAGCACCCAAAGCACTCACATGGCACACTTAAACAGCCCGTGAAATGTTATTTTGCTCTTCTTTGCTTGGTCGACTCCAACTCAAATTAGGGAAGTTGATAACCTTGTTTTGCTCCGAAACTTAGTCTAGTTTGGACTTTCTTTTACTACACCAAAATCCGAGAGTCGATCAGTAGGCCAAATCTCCTTATATTTCGATTGGGGTCGGATTTCATTCACGAGATCAAACTCGAGACAAAAGTATAACAAATCTTCACCTTATCTCGACATTTAAGCCAAGCCACAATTCTTTTGCCGGAACCTCAAATCATCACTGCTACTCTCCCATAGTCTCTTATGAGCTTAATTGTCACAAACATCTTTAAGTCCAAGCTACATATGAACTCTGCCATAAACGTGGACCTTGACTGAATGCTAATTCCGCCAGCACCAGATACTTCATAAGAATTTTCTAGCACAACCACCACTATTACAAATAAAGTATATTATTGCATCTATTAGGGGTGTCAATGGGTCGGGTCGGGTCGGGCTTTCTTGATACCCGACCCGACCCGAAACCTACAGGGTTATGCTTGACCCGCCCAGACCCACCGAAGACCCTGTTCACCGTACACCCCAAGGCCCGGGCCCGGCTTCGGTTTTTTTTTTTTTTTTTGCGCTTTCGCGCAGATAGTAACATCAAATGTCTCTGTTCTCCAAACCTTGAATCACCAACTAGCTTCTGTTCCAGCTAATTTCACCCTTCACCGGAACAACTAGACAGGCGGTCGAACCAAACGCCTGAGTTCAAGGCACAACGGGATCCGCTCCTGCCTTCAGAAGAGATTAAACTTTCGACGACGCAGCAGTCTCTCTGCGACTGTGAATCGCAATTCGCAATACGATTCCCAGCACCAGAACACCCGTTGACTCTTATACTGCTGAACTCAGGAACAACATCATCATCCTCATCATCATCCTCACGAAATCAATACAAAAGAAAGGCAACATCTTGGAATCCCAGAAGCAAAATCCCTGTTCATTGTGTCTGCATCAAACCGCAGTTCCAACTCCATCTCAACTTATTAGGCACAAGTCAGGAACGAAAACTTCATCAAGCTCAAAACCCAACAAGAACCTCACCCCTCAACACCAGCCAACGACAGCCAAGTTCAAAGCCCCAAAAAGAAAAGAAAAAAATGGAAACTTGAAAGCATCTACAAGACTTTGAGCATATCCTCGGCACCACTGAAGGTGAAGGCCCCGCCTTCCTCCAGGTTGAGCACCTTCACAACGCCGTCCTCCGCGAGCAGCGCGTACCGTCGCGACCGCACCCCGAGCCCCACCGGCTGGTCGCTCAAGTCGAGCTCGCACCCGATCGCCCTCGTGAAGTCCCCGTTCCCGTCCGACAACAGCATGACGTCGTCACCGATGCCCAGGTTCTCCTTCCACGCCCGCATCACGAAGGCATCGTTCACGGAGATGCAGGCGATGTTGCCCACGCCCTTGGCCTTCAGCTCCCCGGCCTTCTCCACGAACCCCGACAGAGTGCTTCTGCGAGCAGTGTCGGGGTGAAGGCCCCCGGGACGGCGAAGAGGATCGACTTCTTCCCGGCGATGAGGGCGGAGACGGTGGTGGTCTGGAGCTCGCCGGCGGGGTTGAAGTAGGAGAGGGTGGCGTCAGGGAGCCTGTCGCCCACGGAGATGGCGGCGCGGGTGGCGGCGGTGGAGAGAGGCGGAGGCTTGCCGGGACCGGCGGCGGGGACGGCGAGGGGGGAGGAGCGGCGGCGTAGCGCCAGAGAGGGGAGAGAGAAGGGAAGAGAGACTGAGAGAGGGAGATGGGTCGGCCCAGAGTGTCAATGGGCCGACCCTAAAATACCCCAACCCTAATGAAACCCCAAATTTAGGGCCATATTTGAATAAAATTAAGGCCCGACCCCAAAATACCCCAAATTTTAGGGCCGGACCGGGCCGGCGCGGGTTTGATTAACACCCCTAGCATCTATACTTGTGAGGAGATCACGTACACACCTTATAATTTTAGCAAAATAAAAGTACACACCTTATAAGACTCAAAAGCTACAACAACCATAGATTTTACATGGGTCACCTTGTTAAAGGTGCTACCGTGTCGATTATCGCACAAATACCCACTACCTCATGAACTTCTAGTTTTAGTTCCATCTGGAGTTGAATAGCATCCAAATGCGTATGAACACTATGAATTAACACTCTTACTCATAAGTATTAGAGACTCGTAAAATGTAACTCATTTACTGATAATGAGAAAATAATTTATTTAAATGATATAGTTTATTTTATTCAACCAGATCTATTTAACTACGAATTAGTTTGAAATACATAGTGTTACACACGCATTCACATCTTCATTGTAGAAAGTAAAAAAAGTTGCTCGACTTTTATTGAGTCCCCACAAGCAATTCTTTCAAATAGAGATAGAAATAACTAAGGATTAGCCCGCCAAAGGAAGTTACTAACACCATATAGTCTAACCCTATATATCCTCATTCACGAAGGAGACCAATTTCTTCATCAACTTCGCAGCATTATCACAACCAGGATTCAACAAATGGAAGACATGATCCTCCCCTGGAGTTTCTATCCCTTCCACTACTCCACTCCATCCACTCTGACTCAACGCCTCCTTGTAATACCATCCTCTGTATTTCAATACATCCTTTCCAGCAACACAAACCAGGATCTTGTTCCAACCCAAGCCCGAGAGCCTCGAGTCCATCATGGGGTTCATTAGTGGGTCGTCGCACCCGGTGGTCGTGGGGTTTGCCGCCTGCCAGAGCATTTCGTAGAAGGACCTCTTCTCCAGTTCCGTGGTCTCCGAAGGCAATGGTTCCTTGCCCCAGAAATAAGGATGCACCTTCATAACGCCTGCAACTTCGATTCCATTAAGCTTTTCCTCTCCCGATCGGATGCCCAAGTTGTGGACTATGTTAGCACCGGCGCTATCACCGGCCAGAAACACCTATGAAAAATAAAATGAAATGAACTTGTAATATTGATTACAAGAGAGAGAGTGTTGTATCAGTTACTGTACATTTTTTAATAACCCACGGAGACAAGGTGCACGAAGGCCAAGCTACCTGACCCTACAAAATCTAACAATCAGGACGACTCAGTTAAATTCAGACTTCTGATCTGTACAGGTAGCCTTGACCCACAGCAATATGCACCTAGTTAGTGGAATTTGAAATGGTGATATATCGTGGAACTAGATTTCCTCAACTGTCAACCTACTATGCCAATCTTGGGGGTTTTAGTTACCCTGTATATATATACCATGGCCTAATTCCAAAAAAAACCCCAAACTTTACACTTTGTCCCAATTATACCCTGAACTTTTTTTTGTCTCAAGAAAAACCTCAAACTTTTCTCGAGTCCCAAATCTCCCTACCGTTATAACTCTGTCCAATTAACGTCGGAAAAAAAAAAAAAAAAAAAAAAGAACGACGGTGAGCGTGGAAGCCCGCCGTGGCCGCGCCACGGCCGGGAAGGAGGCCGGCCCTCGCGGCCTTCCGAGGCCGGCGACCCTCGCCGCGGGGAGTCGCCGGCGAGGCACCGCCCGATCGGGCGGAGTCGCCTCCCATTCGGGGCTCGGGCCCGCGGCGACTCGCCGAGGCGGGTCGCGGCCTGAGGCCCGGGCGAGGCCTCAGAGAAGATGGGCGAGCCACCTCGCCCGATCAGCCCGCGGGTCGTCGGCCTCGGGAGGCCGGGCGAGGCCTCGCCTGGGTCGCGGCCTGCCCGGGCCTTCGGCGACCTCGCCGGCCGGGGAGTAGCCCGTCTGGGGAGGCGCGACCCCGCCGATCGGGGCTCATCCCTCGGCGAAGGGTCGGCGGCCCTCGCTGGGCCTCCGGGCCGGCGACCCTCGCCGGCCGGGCGAGCCGCGGACTCCGGCCCGATGCGGGCGAGGTCGCGCCTCGCCCGGATCAGCTGCAGCTCCGCCGGCATGCCACGCCCGAGGTCGCCCGAAGCCCGACGGGCTCCTCGGCAGCGTGGCGGTGGCCACGGCGAGCTTGGCCACTGCACCGCCTGTCTCGTTTTTTTTTTTTTTTTTTTTTTTTTCCCGACGTTAATTGGACTGAGTTATAACTAAGTGTAGATTGGGACTCAGAGCAAAGTTTGAGGTTTTTCTGGGACAAAAAAGTTCAGGTATAACGACAAATGTAAAGCTTTGTGCTTTTTTAATTCGCCTATATACCATTGCCAGAGAGAATGTTCAAGGATACTGGAAGAAACCGTCCCCAACAGAAATGTATGTTACCATTTCCATTTCAAAGGATGATTGAGCAAATACACATTGAGTCAAAGATCTTTGGGAAATGACTTTGCATTTCCCCAAAGTTCAACCAAATGCAGCCGATATCCATTGACTACTATTTTGTTTTTTTCTTCATGTAAGTTTTGACAAATCTAACAAAAAGTGAAATAAGAGGAAATATGAGCTGTAGAGACACCGCATGTTTGGTATAATGCCGAGCTCCTCAAACCTTCAAAAATTAGTAAAGAGCATTCTTTGGAGTCATTAATCTTTTATACTTTCAAATTTTAAACTAATTTTGTACACAGATTCAACAAAGGTTTTTTTTTTCGAGTTTGGACACCGTATCTGTTAAGTATATATATGCCTATAAGAGGTCTATAAAGAAAAGGAGAATATTAAAGATCACCTTCTCGAGACAAGCATGAGAATTCAGCCACTCCTCGGGGCCGTTTCCGGTGGAATGAGAGGCCACCCACTTGAGGGCAGTCCACGAATCGTCATAAGCCGCTGGAAGAGGATCCTCCGGCGCCCTCCTGTACTCAATGGAGACGGCGATGATGTTGGCCTCTGCGACTATGGCATTGAGATAGTTGTGGTAAGTCGGCGACCACGCTGTTTCGAATATGAAGCATCCTCCGTGATAGTACACGAGCACAGGCAGTTTTTGGGGAGAATCGATCGCTGCTTCCGGGATGTACAGTCGTGCCGAGACAGCGGAGTCCGATGAAAGGGTGACATCTTTCGATTGGACGCCGGTTTTCTCGTCCAGCGACGGAGGTACGGTCTCTGTCCCCCACAGTCTCTCCACTCGGCCATCGTTGTAAATCTTCACGAATGGAGACAAATCATAGAGCACTTCTGTTTCCATTACGTTTTGAGTGAAATAGAAGCAAGATTAGTATTGAGGACGGGAAGAAAGAGAGTTTATCAGAATAAGCGACTTGCTGGTTGCATAAACCTTTGCAAGATATGGGGTTTGATTATATGGTTATAAATTTTCCCAATCACAGCAATTTCCACGAAAGTTCCATTGTTATTTTACTTCTCTGGACATAAAACAAAAGTATGGAGTCATGATATATATGTAATAAATTTCAATACCATATAATATAATGTAGAAAGTACTTGGGCAGGTTAATTAAGGTTAAGTAAGCGAAGTTTGAATTGCGTTGTGCTTAGAAAGTCTGATTTGACTGATTATATTGAGGAGTTTGTTGATATGGCACGTGGAGGTTAGCTAATTAAAGATTCTTGTTTATTGACTTGCATAATTTACTGATCCAGGCTAAATAACTAAAAGATTGGGTTTTTCTAATCTATTCTCTCGCTGTTGGACTAAAATAATATTTGTGAGGCGCCAATAAAGGGTCGACACCCAATCCGTCGTGACGAATCAAATAGGCAATCAGATATGATGGGTCCATATTTCATTGTGGAGTTTGATTAGTGATGGGATTGGGAGAGATACAAAATCATCTCAAATTCATCTCCAACATGCCCAACAACCTCGTTTCTTGCTTGATATCTTGGTTGTGGGGATCGCAGATAGAATATAGATTTCTGCATCGAAATTCATGCGCGTGAGGTTGTGGGAGAAAAGCCATCCTAGTGTGTTGTTTCTACCGTTTCTTATGCAAAGCACAAGACTCTTAGGCTGTGGCACGTGGGTATAATTCATTTTTATGATCATACTCCGACCGTGGCTACGAAATGAAGTGAAAGGAGACCTTAGTTCAACCGTGTTCGTGAATCCTTGGATTTCGTCCCGTACCAACTCGTGAGATTATCCAACATCGAGGTGGGCGCACGATGAACTCATTATTATTTCTTGAATGTAAATTTTATATATGAATTTTCATCACTTATATATAGTTAAGATAGGGGTTAAGAAAAGGTTCCCTCATATAATCTTCAAATGACACTTCACTTTATCTCTATGCTTGTCATGCGGCAAAACACATGGCATAACCTTGTCACATGACCCAATATGCTTTGTAGACTAGAGACCAAAATTTCACTCAAATAGAATGTCGCGGGTCCCGGGGTGCATCAGGATTCCCTAGACTTCCCTAATCTAGGTTCAGGTTGACTATTAGATTGGATTAGTCAATTTTAGAATTAGAGAGAAGTCACCACCAATCATTTTAGGGAAAATTGTCCAAAAAGTCCTAAACCTATTATACTTTTGTCAATTAAGTCACAAACCTTTCAATTTTGCCAATTGAGTCATAAATATTTTTGTTTTATGCTAATTAAGTCCTAAATATTTTCACTTTTTGCCAATTGAGTCAATCCAGCTAATCTTGGCCATAAATTTAACTTGTTTGGCCCAATTACTCTTTGATTTGAGTTAAATTGCATTGCCAAATAAGACTACTGAACTTAATTGGAGTCCAATTGGCCAAATTGAACTTCAATTCATCAAATTGGATGTTAGTCTAGAATGGGCAAAGTTGAATTGTACTAATTGGACCAATTACTCTTGGATTTCTCAATCATTGAATCACTAGATTGGTCAAATTGGCTCAAATTCATTTGAATTTTTCAAAATTGATTTCGGATTTGAGTTGCATATAAGATATTAGGCTCATCCGTATCTCAACTATGCAAATCATGAAGAACCGACTGGAACCCCTAATTAGGGCTTAAATTGGGGGTTTTCACTCTTGGCTTGGAATTCTAAAATTGATTTTAAAATTTAATGCAATACGACCTCTAGATTAAATGTCATGAAGGAAACTATCCTAAAAAATGACTAGAAATAAAGTAATTTCATTTTTGACCGATTTGAACCAAATTCCGCAAATTAGGGAAAAGTTGATTCTAAATCGATTTTCGTAAAATTTATGATGCCAAAGTGAAATTAAGCAAAAAATGAGATGATTTATGGGTTTTGAATTTTTTCAATTTTTTTGGACAAAGTGTTGACCAAAAGTCAACATTTTAGTACTTATATACTAAAATGCCAATTAATGGGTCAAAGTTTGAATTTTTTGAAATTTGATTGTGCAAAAGTGAAATTGACATTATTTTGGGGTTTTTCATGTAAAAAATCAAATTTTGACTTTGGGTTGACTTTTGGTCAAAGTTTGACTAAAAAGTCAACTCTTTTTTAGACTAATGTGTAAAAAGCTTGCAAATGAAAGGCCAATGCGAATTCAAATGCTAAATGACTCTTTTTGATTGAGAATCGGATTCCGTCGCGATTAGAAACCCTAATATCAAGTTTTACCTTTCCAAGACGCGTCGGCCAAAAATTATGTGTGAACGACAACGAGGCCGGCGATCCTCGCCGATATTGGTCAAGGGCTCGTGGGCCCTTCTTTGTGGCTGAGTGAGTGTGCCATAGCAAGGGCTTGCGGCTAGGGGTGTAAACGGTTCGGTTCGGTTCGGTTTTCTTGAAAAACCGAACGAACCAACCGTTGGTGCCTCCTGAACCGAACCAAATAGGAACCGAACCGAATTGGAACCGAACCGATAAGTCGATTTGGTTCGGTTTAGTTCCGGTTTGGTTTGATTTACTTTTCGGTTTCTTCTTCTTTTATTTTTTTCGCACTTCTTCCCTACCCTCCTCGTCTTCTTCTTCCGCTCTCTCTTCCCTTCTCTCTCGCGAGGCTTCTCTTCTTTCTTCTTCCCGTCAAGAAGCAGAGTCAATTGATGACCCACCACCAAAAGGCCCCACCCGGATCACCACCGGAGTCGGCCATGGACACTCGCCTGGGAGACCGAACTTCCGGCGATCGTACCCCGCTCTAACAACAAAAAGCGAGGACCAGGGACTCGGACGACCCGTTTGGTTAATGGCGGCCATCACAAACACCTCGGGCCGCCGTCGCCGGCCCGGGTGGACTCGATCTCGATGTCGGCATCGGCCGACGAGCCGACTGGCCGAGGCCGTGAACAAGCGCTACAAGGGGCTTGTCATGCTACGCCAAAGGCCGTCAAGGGAAGGGCGCGTGGACCGGGCGCACCTCGAGCCCATGCTCGTCCACAACGCCGACACTGGCCTCGCTAAGGCCGTGAAGCTCCAGGCACTCCCTCTACGAGGCCGTCTTCTCCGCTCCAACCCGTCGCGGACCGCCTCCGAGCACCTCAAGCGCGGCCGGCCCAACTTCAAGAAGCGGAGAGAAAAATGTCTTTCGTCACTTTTTGGGAGATGATAATGATGCGAGCCTGCGAGGAAGAGGAAGAGAGAGAATAAAGCGGGGAAGAGAGAGAGAGAGAGGAGAGCGGTGAGAGTGTGAAGACAGAGGAAGAGAGAGAATAAAGTAAAAAGTGAGAGAGAGAGAAAAGTCGGTGAGAGGTGAGCAGATCACAGTAATGAACGGTGAGATTGAGGAGAGAGAGCGCGAAGGGAAGAAAACCACATTAAAAACCGAAATCCGAACCGATTTGAACCGAACTGAACCGAACCATTGTGTTAACCAAATTCATTTATTTATTATCCGAATCGAAACCGAACCGAACCGAAAATGCATGAATTTTCGGTTCGGTTCGGTATTCGTATCTCGGTCGGTTTTTCGGTTGGTTCGACACCCCTACTTGCGGCTACGCCGCCTAGATTTGGTAGGGGCGTTGTGGCCCTCACCAATGGTTGGCGACCTCTGCCGGTTGTCCACATCAAGATCACGGGATTTGCTAGAAATTTCTTTATACTGTGATACATCCTAGAGGTTGCACCAAGTAAAAACTTGAAGGAGATTTTGCATTCCTTTGACAAAACCTCTTAAAATTAAATTAGTACAATAATACAACATTTCTCACTAAGTGCATTCGACATGAAAACAAAGATTATTCGGAGAAGATAAAAATCCTAACGAATTCATCACCTTAGGATAAATAGAGATAGACATTAACACCAATATGTCTAACACTATTTATCCTCATTTATGAAGGAGACCATCTTTTTCATCAAATTCACAGCATTGTCACAAGTAGAATTAAACAAATGAAACGCATGATCCTCCCCTGGTGCATCCATCACTTCTGCAACTCCGGTCCATCCACTCTTACTCAGCACCTCCCTGTAATGCCACCCTCTATGTCTTAACATATCCTTCTCAGCAACACAAATTAGGACCCTATTGCAACCTAAACCCGAGAGTCTCGGGTCCATCACCGGGTTTATTAGTGGGTTGTCGCACCCTATGTTGGTCGGGTTCACTATGTTCCAGGACCGTTCGACCAAGGACCTCTCCTCGGGTTCGGTAGTCTCTGCGGACAACGGTTCATTGCCCCAGAAGTAAGGATGCACCATAATGACTCCTGGAACTTCAATTCCCTTTAGGTTTTCCTCTCCCAATCGGACGCTCATGTGGTGAACTATGTTGGCGCCGGCACTATCTCCAACTAGGAATACCTAAGAATAATGAAAAAAGATATAGTTAAACTCATTGACAAGAGAAGAGAATGTTGTATTGGTCATTGTTGCTTGAATGTTATATCATTGAAGAGAGCATGTTTAAGGTGTTACAATATTTAAATAATATACTACGCGATCGTCTAACAACTTAAACTTTTAGAATAGTTGTCAATGTTCCCATAAAATTTTACATGATATCAGTGTACTAGATACTGAGAGTTTTCAATTCACTATAAACTTTATCAAGCTGATACTACTATCAATTGGTCGATCACTAACTTATCACTTATTATATCATCAGCCTAGAGTGCACATCGACTTTCATCTATTGTAGCTTGCCATAAGCTAGTATTTCGCTGTTTTGTTATGATGGCCGTGCAATTAGAGTGATCAACTCGTGGGCAGCCTACTCATCTCGCCCAATCCCGAGAGGTAAATGGGCAGATTTGAGTAATGCTAAAGAAAGCTCGACCTACCCATCTTTGGCCCGATCCCTAGCTTGCCCAATCCGAAAATTACTA